GGCCTCAATGTAAATTCTATTTCTACTGTCAGTCCTTAGAATCATGGGATTGAAGTATTGAAAGGGACTTATTAGTACAATCTGTTTTACAATGCAGATGAGAAAACAGGTCAGAGTGATGGAGGTGACTTGCATAAGGAGGAAGGGGCACTGAGTTAGCACCTACACTAGAACTCAGGAGAAACAGGGGACTCTTAACCTCAGAGCTGTCATCTCTCTTTGTTGAATAATTTTTACTCTCTGTCTTCAAAATTTCTACCTCATTTGTTCCTTGTAGGACTTGTAAGAGTTGTGTCTGTGAACTGCCAACATTGGTGTCTCCTGTTCCTGACTTTTCCATCTATATTGCATTCAACAAATTTGGGCATAAAGAGCTTATCTACATTCATACCTCCAAAGTTTTTGAAGTAATTATTTTTCATAAAATAAAAAATAAAAAAAGAAATTCCTCTCATGTTGGATTACTAGATTTAGCAAATAAAAGCAAACTATGCCCAGTTAAATTTGAATTTCAGATTAGCAACATACGTTATTTTAATATAATTATGTTCCAATTATTGCATGGAACTTATATTAAGAAAATAGGGGCTGTGGCTGTGGCTCAGTGGTAGAGTGCTTGCCTAGCACGTGCAAGGTGCTGGGTTCGATCCTCAGCACCACATACAAATAAATAAATAAAATATTGTGTCCAACAACAACTAAAAATATTTAAAAAAATAGTTTTGTTTATCTGTAATTCAAATGTAACTTGGTGTCCTTTATCTTGAAATCATACTTGCTGCCATCTGAGATATAGAAATAGCATAAGAATTACTAATACTTTCTTCATAGGAATTATTTGCTGTCTGTAGAGAACTGATGTGTTCCGGAGGCATGATTATTCCATATGGTTTCACTGGTCAATAGCTCTCTTTGTTTCAGTTTTCCACTAATGTGTAATAAATTACCATAAACAACAGCAACCAGGATTCCATCTCATGTTTTCAGAGGTTTGCTGGGGATCCCCAGAGCTATTTGGTGTACTTTTTTCACTTGTGATTTCCCAGGTAGTGGTAGTCAAATGGTGACTGTGGCTGGGTGCTTCAGGCCATGGTGCTTCCTCTTGTTCCCTCTCTCCATGTGGTGTCTAATCTTCTATGGCCCCTTTATGTGTTTACTAACTCCAGTAAGGTATCTTGAATTTATCATATGGTAGTTCAAGGTATCAATAAAGAAGAGTTGGAAGCTGCCTGGTCTTCTTAATGCCTAAACTCCAAAGTCACAGAGATTAATTTCCTCTACATTTTATAGGTTAACATATTCATAGACCTTACCCTAGGTCAAAAGTACAGGAAGAAGGTTTATCTCTTATAGGAGAAAAAATCTGTGTGTACATGAATATGTGGAATTGTTAAGAAGTCACGTTTATTATCAAAGTTGGTGATATAAGTTACTCTGATTCTTTCTCATTATCCTCACTGGGCCCCAACCTAGTACTTCCTTTCCATCCTGATGTTTATACCTTTGGTAGTAATAAAAGTTCATTTATTACACCTCCACCTCTTATTATTGTAAAGCTCATTTAACAATTTAAACATTTACATATACACTTATAAAGATAAAGTCCTACCTTAAATTGTTTTTCTTTGATGTTATGGTTTGGATATGGGGAATCCTCCAAAGGCTCCTGTGTTAAAACAGGGATTTTCAGAGGGTGAAATGATTATATTATGAGGGTCATCAGTCAATGCTAGTGTGAATGTACTGACTGGGTGGTAACTGTAGGCAGGTGGGGTGTGGCTGGAGGAGTTGTGTCACTGGGAAGCATGCCCTGAGAGGGCTCATCTTCCCGAAGCCTTCCTACTTAACCCCTCTCTCTCTGCATCCTGGCCACCATGTTCTGAGCTATTTTATTCTGCCACACTCTTCTGCCTCACCTAAGGCCAGAGCAATGGAATTGGCTGACCATGAACTGAGCCCCTAAAACCATAAGGCAAAATAAACTTTTCTCCCCCTAATTTGGTCTTTTGGATATGTTGATGACAGCGATGAAGAGCTGACTAAGATGTTTGAATTATTTAACATTCATCTCTTGCTCTAGAACTAGTTTTATTTTTAATAATAAAAAATAAAATCAAGTCTTCTCTCCATTCATCCTCATCCCCTTTCTTAATCATGGCATTTTCATCAGTAACAGAAACAGTTTAGTTTTGGATTCAGAGAATAATTGGACCTTCTCTATAAGGAATGACATAGACTGCTTAGAAGTATCTGAAGATGAACTACATTTTGGGGCAATGAAGTGTAATAATCTAGGAGATGATAGAGTATATATTAGTTTCAACTTTCTTGCTCAATGAGTTTCTTGCTTATTTTATTATAGAACAAACACAAAAGTCCTTAGCATGATGTTCTAGGTCTTAACTGACATCCTATTATTCTTTTTCAAAAATTTATTCTAATTAGTTATACTTGACAGTAGAATGAATTTTGACACATCATACATAGATGGAGTATAACTTATTCTTCTGATTGTATACAATGTAGACTTACACTGGTTGTATAATCATATATGCACACAGGGTAATAATGTCCAGTTCATTCCTATCCCATAGCCTTTCCCTATTGTTCTTTAACATTCTTACTCCTTTGGCTCTCCTTCTCAATTCCTCACCTCATCCCATCAATACCTTCACCTGTTCTCTGGCAAACCCAGAGAACAGGTGAAGTTATTGTTTATGCTCAGCATGTTTATGGAATGTTCATGGTAGGTTTAGCTTGGTACTTTCTCCATGATTATTTACCCCTTTTAATTACTAATCAACTGAGTAAGTTGAACAGTAGGGCCAATCCTACTTCTCCCATGAAACTATTGCTATTTTCATCAGTGAGAATTACTATTTTTCTTCTGGAGTACTTACAGAGTGTACACTTCTATTATAACAGTGATCTCTAATCTGCTTGTAGTTTGTTTTTTTCTTTTTAAAAGAAGTTTCTTCCCAGTGGATTAAAAGCCCTTGTAATTATAATTATGACAACATCTCTAATTTAGTAAACAATTCCCTGAACTCTCTACCAAGTATACTCTGTATATTATTTATTTTTAGCTCTAAAATAAGAAATAACTCCATGGTATTATTATCTTTCAAGTGAATCATATGTCCAAACATCATCTAGTCAACTGGTAGAGCCAATTTTAGTCCAGGTCCAGCAACCCCAGCACAAGTTTGTCACCACTATAAGAACTGGGTACAATGGCTTCAGAGCACCCAGATCCTCATATATTGATTTTACAATCATAAATTCTTTTCTCCCTTATTCCTTATTTTACATGCTTTCAAAAATTTAACTTGCCTTCTTTCAATTACCTCCTTTCCTCTCATCTTTTATTTGAGACCTGAATATCTATTGGAATGTTCAATGAAGGATGAAGAATTTTAAACATATCACTTCATTAAAAATGAGAATGAGTATAATACAATTCATTGTATTATGAAGATTAAGGCGCATATTTGATTTCACTAAAAGCAGGCTAAAATTTTTATTTGTATATATATATA